CTATTCACCTACCTGGGCGGAAGAACTTTTCGTCGGGAAGTGACTCGGAGTGTACCAAGGTTAAACTAGAGAGCATTTCAGAGGACAACTCAGGATCCTCTTGATCGACCACGGTCCCCACCAATTCTTCACGGTGACAGTTGCAAGGACAGCATGAACCGCCGGAGGTGATGAAGGATGCACCCATAGGAGAATAATGGTGGGTGAAAATGCTGCAGCTATCACCACTACTCCACGAGTTCTCCATCATAGACACGGAAGTAGAGGTTGGGGGAGCGTTTGCACACTCGTCCTTATTGTTCCACACGAAACTCAGGCTATCATTTACCCTATCCAATTCGATTCGATTGGCATGAACCCGATGAATTAACTCCTGACATCCAGATTCAAGCTGCAACAAGTCATCGGAAATACTGGTGGTCAAAGCGACAAGATCGGAGAAGCCTTCGCCGTAACGCACACCCGCCCTGAAGGTTTCGCGGGGCTCTAAGGAGCTGCCTGCATCTCCCTCTTCCTCTTTATCACTATATTCTCCAAAGTTGTTTGCGCGATTCTGAAGATCAAAAGTAAAGTAGACACCTTCATCATCCAGCTCCAAACCTTCAGCCTCGGGGTGATCACCTTCTTCAAGATCTTCTTCAACAAGTGGTGAGGTTGCAGCTTCCCGCGTCTCACAGTGCGCATCTACAGCGCAGTCACGACGGACGACAGAGATGGAGGGAGGGAGTAGAAGCGGATTAGGACTTGATCTAAAATAGTATCGCTTTACGGAGGCCGCAGCAGCCAGATTCACAGCACGAGTTTCTTCAGAAAAAAAAACGCCTTCAAACTCTTGATCTATTTCCTCTAGGACAGCAAACATATTTGTGGGTGGTAAGATCTTCTCAAATTCCAGAATGTTTGGAGTAACTTTAGATGATGCTGCTGACGATGCTGATGATGATGACAACGAGGAAGGTGAGGACGGCCGAACTGGTGGTGGCGATGGCAAGGATGCAGCAGCGGCGGTTGTGCTTGTGGGCGCCACACAAGCAACCAACTTTGGTGAGCGACGGAAAAGTGGTGTTGACGACGATGAACTGCTTTCAGTATTTGATTCTGCAAGAAATAAAATTTCACATTCAACTACTTTGCGGCCTAATGACAAGAGGATGGTTTCATTTCTCTGCTTCAGTGACAGTGTAATAGAATGAAGGCATTTCCTTTAACATTACTTCAACCTCCTTTTTTTCTGTCCAGCGAGGAAATTATTGCAACCTTTTCTGTCATTAAAGTCCCATTTGCACCTAACTGAATAAATAGAGAGACATCAAAGGAGAGGAGATCGAAGATGTGAACTCTGAACCCTTACATCATATTTCTGTGAAAGTCTGGGTCACACAAATGGATGTCATCGCTCCTACCGTCTTCCCAGTACTCCACTGGAAAAGAAAGTGACGACCAAACGACAAAAAAATTGGGAGAAATTGATAATAAAATGCAAAGTGATGATTATAATGTGTGAGAATATCTTAAGCATTGCCAAATAAATCTTTTTGAAAGCAAATGTCCACCCCGATTGCAGATTGTCGATGCAACTCAAGCATTCCAAAGTCAGGGATTGTGGCAGTGCAATTCACAAGGAGAACACAATTGATGGCCCATCAAAGCCTATTAAGTGGTTTACTGACACCAAAGTTTAGAGTCTTATGACCTTGTTAAAAAAA